CGTTAACTAAACTATAATCACGTTCACAGTTACGTGTCGTGACTGTTCTGCTGATTTCCTGACGACGCAAATAAATTACGACTACACATATGCGAAAATATTACTCGCTACCGTTCGCTATAATAGTAATTACTATATGCTATGAAAATAGGTCGACTTATCGAACTGACGAACACACGATTAGACATTAAGGTTGGTCGTTTTTACGACTTGTTTGATGGAAAAAGTTACATTGTTGAGGTAGTCGAACGACGGAAAGCGGTACGCGATAGGCCGTAATTATATTTGCAGCGCAATAAGTGTTGCATTGTATGCTAAAACCACGATGACATTATTTTAATAAGCAATAACTGTTCTTTATTGCAAGGTAAAAGAATTGCGAAAACTAGAATAATTGCAAATAAACGCAGACTACGCGCGTGAAAAGGTTAACGTGCTTTGGCTCTACGAGAGTTTTAACATATATGGAAAGAAATGACGAATGTACAAATTGTTTTTTTTAGAAGATCATAAAATAATCAAATAAACAGAACCGACTTCCAAACACAATACATTAAAAATATAACATTCCCAAAAATTCCTTGCATTACTTAAACCTTCCTTATTGTAGCTGTTATGTATGTTGTACAATTATCATTACTTTGAAGTCAGAATATCTTTTTTTTGGGAAGACGGTCAAAAAATACACTCTAATTTGTATTAGATTTAAGTATCCATCAAGCTATCAAATGAAATTGACTCCATTTTAAACAAAATAAATGAACATTCTAGAATATCTGGAGCTTTCCTTGTATCTAAAGCGGTTAAATCGTAATGAATAAACCAATAAATCGCGCACGAGACCCTCGAATTCATCATATAGCATTTAGATGTAAACTCAATAAGTGTAAATCTGCGGTATTTCCATAAACGCTCGTCGTTCGTACAGGGTTCGTTCGAGTGCTTTATTTATAAATCCATCCTTACATTACAAGTGTGAATTATCGCTTGCAATTTGAAATTGTCTTGCGGCGGCGCGCTCGTAGTTTAGCTTCGCAGGTTTCGCGGGTACATTTGAGGTGTTATTTAACGTACTATATCTTTACTCGTATAAATGTCTTATTCACAATTAAAGTCACAACAAATTATCAATGCAAATTTCTATAAGTTTTAAAATACAAATTATTAAATTGTAAAATAGGTAATCAAACACACAATGAACAGTAAACAGTAGCACTGTCTTACTTCTTATTCATATTATACATGCGAAGGATTACATGGGTGAATGTTTGTTAGAGTTTGTAGCCTAAACGGCTGAACGGATCTCGATAAAATTTGGCATAGACGTAGAGAATAGTCTGGGAGAACACATTGAGTTACTCACTTTTGTTCTTTTTAATTCAACGACGACGGAGTCGCAGGCGAAAGCTAGCAATGAAATAAATTATCTTTTAAAACAAAGAGTGTTTCTTGTTCCAATAAAAACAAATAATTGTTTCAGAGGTCCCACAGTCACAAGTAATTGTATAACTTTGAATTTATGTGATAATCAGATACTGAAGGTGCAAATACCAATAAAATGGAATGATGTGAGACGATATAAGCGCCCAATACAATAGTCAATCTTAACACAATCGTCCGCATCTGTGTCAAAATCAATTTTAGTGCCTGCGAACACCTTGACCCGAACAGACGTTTGATTTATATCATTCGTGATACATCAATACGAACGTCAGATCAACCTTGGCTTACGACTGTAGTATGATAACTATTATTTTGTCCACATATGGCCGGTTTCCTAGCTACTTTAACTATTCGTTAGGGTTTTGGTTCAATAATTTTATGACATGCGTAATTTGAGTTTTACTCCGTTGAAACTTAGTTCAACCGAACACTTGTAAATGATAAGGTAATCATACTTAATATTCTAAATGCGAAAGTTTAGATGGATGGATGGATGTTTGTTAGAGTTTTACAGAACTGGTTTCTATGAATTTCGATTTAGATGTAAAGGATATTCTGGAAGAACACATAAAATACTTACTTTTTTTTTAAATTCCACGCGGACGAAGTCGCGGGCAAAAGCTTGTGATGAATAAATATAAACTTCAGTAACAAAGCATAAGATTCAGTTTTATATCTTGCATGCAATGTATTCTAGCCATGAGTCCATCTGTCACAGGAGCATGCTATTCAAAGTTCCAGTATTCGTTATTTATGCTACAAAATATTTGATGCTACAGGAAGGTCGTCAGTTTGTAAAGAGCTGTTGTAGCGTATTCCGGGGAATTATTACCAAACAGTATGATGTTTTACAATATTTATTTATTTATTCAGGCGGAAGGGGAGAGTCGGTAATTGGCGCACCACAATGGAGATTACGCGGCTTAACGTTGAGTTTTGTCATTCAAATATCGGCTCGGTGGGCGACAACAAACCCTGTTATGATAATATTCCTGTCGTTTCGTACGTTTGTACGCAAAATCTTTACATAGGAATACTTGACTGCTTTATATCATAATCGAGTACTTCCTTACAAGAAAAATTCAAATCTTACGGTCTTTGTACTATTGTAACTTTTTAATCTCTTCAACTTTAAAGATTAGTCAAGCGGAAAAGAGTTCACACATTACTATTTAAAGCCATGTTTTGTACCATTTTTGTTCCCTGGTGACTATTTTCTGAAATTGCGAGTAGCCATTGACCTCTATTCGGTTTCAATATCACCGCATTATGACAATTTTTTTTTTTCGACGTGAAATGCGTCTAATGCTGGGTTTCTGAAGTTACAACTTATTTTTTCATTACCTAGTGACTCAGTGTTAGGTTGACATATGTTTCAACGGAGTAATACTCAAGTTACGTAGTTCGGAAACGCATTTCATTACCCAAAATTACTAACGGATGGTTAAACGGTTATCATTAGTTATTATTATTATTATTAAAACGTAGCTGGGAAACCGGCCATAAGGGGGTTGACATTATGTCCTTAATTTATACTGTATAATAATTATGTGAAATGTTGTTAACAACAAACTTTCTCGTTAAGCCATTTCTCACCTTTTGCATTTAGATTTGTTTTTTCGAGTTTCTTAACAAAGATGTTTACAGCTCCAAAATTATTTGTCAGTATTCGTCCAAAATAGAATAGATCAATATGGCTCTTTTACGCGACAAAAGACTTCATCTTAAACGAATGAGTTAGGTTGATCGGTGTCGATATCACCTAATGAGTGTAAACGCGAGTTATACGGCAACAGGCGACCTCTGGCGCATCAATCTTCGCGATCGTCACTGTCCGCCGGTTGCGCCCTCCGCGATTAATCACCCGCCAGAACGTTTTCGATTAGCGCCGGATAATGCACGAAGAAAAAACATACAACGTTCCAATTACAAACCATCGGCTTTCGTATCATTTGTTTTAACAAAGGGTTAGATGCAAACGTTAAACTTTTGTAGATATATTCACTTTTTAATTCAACTTCTAAATATTATTTCAGATTTTCTACGTGTAATATATCTTCTATTGATTCGTCAAGTATGACAGTCTTCTGTGAAACCCGCGATACATTTCGCACGCTCTAAATGCCCTAACGCCTAGACTATTTAATGAGGCGTTATACAAATATATGAGACGGAAACAGGAAGCGTCAAATGGCGTTTCGTTGTTTCCACGGCCCAGTTCTTTGGCGTTAAGTGCTCCGATGTAATTGTCCGGCCAATGCAAATAGTGTGATGTTTGATCGTCGCCAGGTCGCCAGCGTCGCTTTGACACCGCGTTTGAACATTCGCCCATTCTAATGTGGACCGGATGATGCGTTGTATAGCGGGATTTCCTATTTGATGACGTCATTTGATAATTCGAACTTCAAATCTCACTAATAAATTCCCCTGATATTACTCGTATTTAAATGCTTAGCAAACGATCTGCGGTTAAAAACCTTGTAGTTTTTTTTTTACTTTTTAAAGTCTTGTGTAACTTTTAAACTATTTACAATAATTTATGCAATAGGTATACTCTTTAATATGCATTGAAAGATATATACATAACACAGTGGTAGGCCTTCGCGTCAACGCTTGAGTTCAGACTAATCAAACAATTTTATCGCTGCCTTCGACTGATAAAGCGCTTTATCTGCTTTTTAAATTGCAAAGTGCGTTCAGAAACCGGATATTGTACAATTTGCTACCAATGTTTTGTCAGTTTATGCACGATGGGGTGGCCGATTACTGCAGTGTGCAGTCTGATAGTAACTTGTATAGGGATGTCCCCGTCAAATCTACGGAATAGGGTTGTACAAATTTTAATTTTTGAAATAATTAAATTTAATTATTTGTAAAGATTTTACGTAACTTGTTTTTGTATTTAGTAGCTTTAGCAGTAATTTTGTTTTGTGAAATTTTGAACAAATCAACAAGAAAGCAGGAATACGATTTTTATATATTTTCTGTTTGATATCGCGTTCAATAATTAGAACTAAATAATGTAGATAGATATAGGTGTTTTACTAACAGGTTAATTTAATGGTTACTGGTTAATTCATAAGGTATGAGTGAAATAGTAAGTTTTTGTGTAGAACGGTTACATTTACCCGGACATGCGGGCGCACGTGTGCCCTGCGCTTCACTCCGTTACACATCGCGCTTCCTATATCGAATATTAATTTATGAACTGTTCATTAAATATTTATAATAACTACATATATAACTGCATACCGCTTACATAAAGAAGGTGTCAGAATCTTCGTAGTAAAGCCGTATTTGGTACAATGACATCTGTGGTTGGTACGCTTTAGGAAAAAAAATAGCTTTTTCAGCCAATTAGATTTTGTTAAATAAAAATTATCTTTAAATCTATAAAAAAAAGATATTTTTGGAAAACATTGTTTTAAAGACATTTTTTAATAGACAACTTTGGAAAAAGAACCTTTCTGTATTGACTTCTCTGTACTATGTGTTATTATATCTGCCACTTATTTGTTAATTTCTATAAATTAATTAAATTGTCTCCATTGTTTTAGTTATACGAGATCAGTGACGACCCACAACGTAAGGAGTTCCTCGATGATCTGTTCTCATTCATGCAGAAACGAGGTAAGTTCTTATCCCATATGAAACTTTTTGATACAACCTCCTTACACTTATCACTGGCCACTTATACTTCTTTCATCGGTGCATCATTATCCAAATTATAAAGACCTGTGTGTTGTATTTAGTTTTCTATCTGAGGGTCTTAATTGGTTAGATATGAATCTAATGTTTGTTTTAGATAGATGGTTAGGATTGAGATAGTGCAAGGAATGATTGACGATATGAAAATTGTGAATGAAACTAGTTTTTGTTTATAGTTTTATGTCAATGTGCTTTTTTTAATTTCTGTATATTTTTCTTAATATCAAGAGATGTTCTATTCCATACAATAGTGTTTAAATAGTCGTCTTCGGTACCTTTATTAACTACATATCTAAACATGTTTTAAGATAGCATCATCGATTTTCTTGTCCATTTTGTACAAGTTATACCTTCTGTAATAAATATAAAATCTTTCTTATCGATTTAGATGAACATTAATCATAGAAATATCGATTGTTGAAGACCTGTGTAACTCCAATGTGGAACTAATGAGGGCGCTAGTGTGGGAATTCGCCACAACAGTGTTATCTGCACAGATAATCATTGTGTTTTAAATATCATAATAGAAATAATTAAGCGAGAGATCGTTCGATCGCTCGGGGCGTTGAGATCGTGCGCGGGCGCGTGATTGATAACCGTACAACTTACCTTCTCTCGCACACGGATATGATGATATGCTATCCCTGTTCCTCATTAATTGATCTCCGTTGCAAATGGCGCCATCAATGTCGTACAATTGATGTACGATCGCAGCTTGTCGAATCAATACTTATTGTTGTACAATTACTTCGATATCGATAATGCGTTCCCCTCACTATTCATTACGTCACTACTACGTTGTTCTGTACAGTATATTTTAGAATTTAAAAGTGTTATTTATGCATACAGTTGTGATTTTTAGGCAGAATTTATTGTTCTTTAGTATTGAATTCAGTGTGAAAGTGTCCCAATTACTTAATCCGGCCAATAGGGTGTAGGGCGGTGCTACTGTCCACGCTCCAATGTTTATTGCAAGCGAGTAATTGAAACAGAATGTTGTTTTGGACGCCATTCACACCGTTACTGATTGAAATATTGACTTTATCTCGTAGGCTACTTAAGATTTTATTTATATCATTTAAATAATATTAAGTGTCTAATACAATTCCAGAACGTTGCAAAAAACGACATAAAAGTTTCTTACTATATTGCAATTTGGTAAAATTTTGATGAACTTCTAATATTCATCTTGGCTATATCGGACTAGCCACAAAGATCCGTTATACATAAAGAGTTTTGTACTTGCAATTATGTTACACGATGGTGTAAATCAGTCCATAAAGTCCGAGTGTCGAGGTTCGCGATCAGAACAAGTCCGGCTTATCTCGTTCGGAATAAATTATTATTCAATTTATCACCCTCGGTTGCGGCCAACAAACTTCTGGTTGTTATTACGCGAGCCGCGATAACGGCGAGAATTAATCGATTTGATTGTTTTTTATATCGATTTGTATACTATCGCGATCGGATTAGAATCGAAGGGTTTCGATTTTGTTTCTAATGTTTTATTGCATTTTTAATTGGATTAGGTAAATGTTATTGTAAAAATACCAAAATTATTGTTAGTTTAAGTAGCTAAGCGCCTTTCCCACTAAATTGTAAATTGCCTGATAACAATGCAACTTGTAAAATGTGATGAAAATATCGGATTTTGTTCCCTTATTTGAGACAGTGACGTCATTTTTAAGCTATCTTCGCCTCTATCAGCCAGTGGTGGGACAGGCCCTTAATATTACCTGAGATTAGTCAGTCATAGTTAACACTTTTTTTACCATTTTTTATGTTAGAACCAAAGATAATCAGCCAAAGAATAGATAACGCATACCCCGAGGCAGTTAGACACATAATTACAGTTTTATATTGCCATGTCATAGCAAACATCAAGTTTTAATTAGTAAGAATTAATTTATTCGAGGTGGGTTAATCCTCACGTGAGACGAGAGGCATCACTCGGCCCGATCTCGGCGTATTAATAATGTTTTATCATTTATTATTGCTCATGAGTAATGAAAGTGAACCCGCCACGCCCCGCACCGCTCCACTCCGTCTTCGTCTCGCGAAAGAAAAAAACAACAGATTAAAAATAATATAGCTTTATATTTTTTTCTAAGTTTTTAAATCAATCACGGACACAAGCGTTTAATTTAATTTTTATTATGTAAATTCTAATTAAAGTGCAAGAGACTGTGGGTGGTTGAATAAATTTTAGTTTATGATACTTGATTTGTATGACAATGTTTGCGTATTGTTTTTATTGTAAAATTATTTATTATATCGTAGTCATACTAATATTATAAAGAGAACCTTGATTGTAATGAATAGGCTCAAACACGACTCCACCGTTTTTAAAAAACAAATCACCATTTGAAGGCTACATTACCCACAAGTAACATAGGGTATTTTATTAATAATTTCACGCAATAGCTAATTTAAAATATTTTGAACTATGAAGTCAATGAAGATAACAATTACTAATCGTTTATATCGCTCTTGATTTGTACATTAGTAAAATACTGTAACCACAATGTTTGTCAAAAAATTATAGGACATATGCTATGGTTAGTAATAAATCCATAATATTTAGTTTAAAATTAGTTTCTTTGTCGTAATGTTAGATAATTAGTTTCGTTAAATATTCAACCACTACCTTAACAACTACCGATAATGTAAACCAGATAAGGCTTATAATTTTAGTTAATTCGCACGTAAAGAACATCAGATACAATAATAGAAGTTATCTCGTCTTAAAGCTATCATCTTCAAATCACGACAGGCTTGTTTTGTAGAAATAGAAAGCACATAAGTGCGGCCGATGTTAGCACGTGACTGGCTTGTTAGCGGCTGATTGATCGGCTATCAGGCCAGCCCGTCCTTAACTTACAGGGTGATATAAAAATCTCATGTTCAAACCATGAAAATAACGAACGAAAAAGGCCTGTTTAGGTATTATATATAACCAAATCTTTTATTACAAAACATAGTATGATTTATTTGGTGTTTATGTTTTTTCACACTCAAAATTAAATAACTCACGATTTATTTTATTCACTCATATTGATATTGTATAGGTTTATTTCTTCTTGTAACATTTGAGTCTAAAGTGGTCAGTTTTTTTTATTTGATTACAACAGTTACAATTTTTTAATAGCGTTAACTTTGGGTTTGAAAATTATAGCGAGCTATCTCGTTAGCAATAAAAAAGTCAGTGTCAAAATTAATGTAATCGTAATTAGTACAAACACAATCAATCATTGAATCGTGAAGCAGCAATTTGTAAGTACATTTAGATCAGCCTGTAAGTGGCCGGCCATTGTTTCACTTGTTAATGGCGACTTCGCTATAACTAATAACATCTCATTCGGATTCATTTCCCGTGATTAATTATCTGTTTAATCGATATAAGATGTTGTGCCAACAGTCTTCTCCAATTTCAACCGACAACATGATTATCTAATTTGTATTTTATGTATACATGTTAGAGTTCATTTTTGACTGTTGTGTTTTGTACATAGATTAGATTAAAGAGTTGATCTATCATTTTTTTCATCATTTCATTGAAGATAGCCTTTTGTTGGAGGTTTAATTGGTGTCTTAAACTGGCTCGCGGTTAATTCGATTTCGAGCCGAGCTTTACCTTAGCTCATTTGCTTTCGTCTTTTTGTCTGTTAGTCGCGACGAGTGTTCATTTAAATTTGATTGATTAGACTCAGTTCTATGTAATTGTATAAAACTGTAAAACTTTAATATGTTCGTTTCAAAATGTATCCACATTTGTTTAAACAACTTTTCGGAATATCTTATTTCCTTAAAGATCCGTTTCAATATCACTTTAATTCTTGTTTTTTTTTTATCAAAAAATTACTGGCCATTTACGATATAACTTGGATGAATTATAATGTCACAGTATCGGAGAATTGAATTAAAAAAAGTCTGCCTCCGCATATGCCGTCAACATTTAATTGTCAAACTCGTAACGTGCTCTAAAATAACTCGTGGATTGATGATGCGATGCGATACGATTAGAACAAGGGTGAAGATTGATGATGTCTCGAGACAGGAATTATGTCGCGGTGCGTTACCGCGACACGGACTTTGGTGATTTTAATTATTGTTCTAAATGTGCAGACACATTTCGAAATTACGATCAGAGGTGCGAAACATTTTACACTTTTATAGACATTAATAATAGCTGGAATGGACTAACTGTTGCTCGCGACTTCGTCTGCATGTAATTAAAAAAAAAATAGATTATGTTATTCACTGATAACGTAGCTTGTTAATAGTGAGAGATTTTTTGAAATCTGCCCAGTATTTTTTGAGTAATTTCAAACAAAAAAAATCAATCATGTTTATTATATTAGTATAGATATATATCTCTATATTAAGGTTTTGCATAATTCAAATACTAAAACTTATTGACGTTGGATGAAAACATTTTATTTTGAAGGGCTTTTAAATGTTCTTTTAAGAAACAAGGGGTAGTGAATTAATAAATGTTTTGGCAAAGGTTTTCCCTTGTAACTTGTAACACGGCATACGTCAGTTACGAGCTACAACATTGTGACGGTCATCTCGCGCCAATAACGGTCGCATAGCGCCAGTCATGCGCGACCCGCCCCCACCCGCTACAGCTCAAGTCATAAGATTAGCGATTTTGAACATTTAAATTAATTTATTTTATCACTTTCTTTGATGAAATCCTATGACCTTCTTTTTCTAAACAGAATATAATTTAATCCAGGGCTCGTTAAAGCGTTTCTAGATTTAAACATGTTATTAATAATTGTAACATGGAAGATAACATACCTGAAACGAATAGTTCTAAATAAAAAAATAATAAAAAATATTTCAACCAAGCTCTATAAATAAATTCTTTTTTAATGTCAGCCATCATTCAGTGTTTCATTCTAAAGTAATTGTAT